CTCAGAAATGACTAATTTTATTTTGTCCAAGAAGAGATTGTGGTGACCTTTGTGAAATATGAATAGAGATGTCAAGTCTCTATGTGGTTGAGTTGGTTTTGACTGGAGAGAAGGTCTGAGATGGAGAAACAAATTTACTAGTGTAGGGAATATACTGGAAATTGCAAGTGTAGAAGCGGTCACTTTGGTCATTGGAAAAGGACCTGGCTTTAGGACTAAATTCTGAGGTTTTGGTAGAGAGAGTTAAACCTACAGAAGTAGACTTAAAAAGAGCCGTCAGAAAAATAGGAAGCCCCCCCCCCAAAAAAAAAGAAAAAGAAAAATAGGAAGCCTTGAAGCCAAAAAAAGATGGTTTAAGGAGAAGAGGGAGTGGTTAGGCTTAGAATGCTGCATAGACATTAAGTAAGATGAGGACCACACTGTTGAATTTAGAGATATACAGACCATTAAGGATCCTGGTAGGAACTTTTCTGCTGGTTTCATAGAAGCAATGTCAGATAGATTTGAGTTGGAGAGGGAGTGCGAAAAGTAAGGGAAATAGAGGCAGGGAGTTTAGACAGCTCTCTTACCAGACTGTGGAAGGAGGGAATGGCACCTGGAGGAGCTGTGAGGTTCAGTTAAGGAGGGTTTTTAAAATTAATGAATGGTCCAGCTTAGTGGTAGGGAGATGTTGATGAATGCCCAAGACGTTGATGAATGCCCAAGAATAATCAATAGTATAAGGTTCGGGAAATGACGGAATATTGATACTGAACGCCGGCCTCAGTTTCCTCAGCCAATAAAAGGAAACAGTTTGAGGAGAAGGAAAGTAGTTTAACTTGTTGACAAACTGCGGAGGACAGCAGACTCGTGTCTGAAAGCCCACTGTCCTGCTCTTTGGCAGAGTGCAGGATTATTTATAAAAGGGAGATGGGCAAGGGTGGCGTACGGGGATTTTGGGTGGTGCCTGCTTGCTTTGTTAACATCTGATGTTTAACCTCCTTAGATGTTTAACTTCCTTATCCTCTTTGGGATATGCTTCCCTTTCCTTAGAATGGGAGAAGACAAACTTGCTAAATGCAACAGGTAGGAATGCTTATCTGAGAGGGCAGGAGGAGAGACCCGTCCTGGTCACTGCATCAGTATGGACTGTAAAATCCAGATAGAAGGGATTGCCTTTAGATTGGAAGGAAAGAATGGCGAGGAAGAAAATGCTATCTAAAAGGATAAGTGCTGTATGTTGTATATTTAGTATTTTACTATAAATTCACTGTGAAAATTAAACAAGAGAGCCTTTTTTCCCATTTGCAAGATGTAATTCCCATTTGACAATTTTGTGATTGTTTTCTGCTGTCTCCTTAACTACCTCTATCATAAAAATGGACTCCCCCCACCAACCAAAAGCAATGTATGCAGCAATAATCTCAGTATTTGGAAAGATTAATCTGTATATATGGGCATCTTTTCCCCCAGAGTTTAGGGTTCTTCATTTTTATTTTACTGTAGGGAGTTTTGTCAGTGCTTGTATTTCCATTTCCTGTCATTTTTTTCCCGTGTGTGTGTGTGTGTGTGTGTGTGTGTGTGTGTGTGTGTGTTTTAAGGATTTATTTATTTATGCAAGCACTGGGTACAGTCAGAAGCTCAGGAGGGTGAGAGAATTCAGAGACAGAGCTGGGAGCAGAACAGGCAGACTGATGAAATACACTGCTGAGGGGGGAGCAGCAGGCACGGAAGGAGAGGTCTGCGTGCCATGTGGGACTCTCGCTGGCGGTCGGGGATCTAACCGGTGCTGCAGAGACTGTGGACAGCTTCGCAGTCCAGCGCTCAACCACTACGCCACTGGGGAGGCCCTCCCTTGTGTTTTTAAAAAAAATTATTAAAAGATTCCACTAAAGGGGTGGGGTGGGAGCAGGGGGATTCTAGTAGAATCCATCTAAATTTGACTTGGTATCACGGGTAGTAAAAAGCACTACCCCTTTTTCTGTAGAAGGCTTTACTTTTATGTTAGAGTGTGAGAGTTAATTTTTGAATAGAGAATACTTACATATAAAATAAAATTCAAGAGGTATAGGTGTACATACAGTGAAAATTCTTTGACTCTTGGGCCTCCCTGGTGGCGCAGGCGGTTGAGCACAGCCCTGTGAAGCTGTCCGCAGCCTCTGCAGTGCAGTTCCATCCCCTGCCAGCCAGTGAAAATCCCACCTGGCTTGGCAGACCTCTCCTGACTCGCCCGCTCCTCCCCTCAGCAGTGTATTTCTGTCGTCTGCCTGTTCTATTCCCCGCTCTGTCTCTGTTGAATCCTCTCATCCTCCCACACCTCTGGCCTGTGCCCCAGCTCTTGTATAAAAATAAATAAATCTTTAGAAGCAACAACAACAAAAAAAACCTCTTTGACTCTTGTTCCTTGATTCACTCTCTTTTAAGGCAGCTGGTGTTATTTTCCTCAGTGTTCTTCTGAAGGTCTACAGACAAAATTCACATATAAATATAATTTTGTTCTTTACACAACTGGTATGATAAACCTTTTTTGTTAATTTTAGCATTGTGTTTTGAAAATTGCTACATTTTAGTATAAAGAACTTCATCATTTTTTAGAGGCTGTATTATTTGGACGTACCATGATGAGCTAATTGGTGCTGGGCTTATGGTTGATGCTAGTGTTTGTGATTGATTTGGGCATATTTAAGTGGTTTGATTGCTCATTGCTCATTGCTTTTATGGACAGTAGAAATCTCTGTAAATCTCAACACTTAAATTTAAGGATCTTAAAATATAATTGGTTGGTTGATATTGAAACATACTGTCATGTTTTCTTAGAAGGATAAACAGTTTAGATTCATTTATGCTACCCATACAATTTATTGAAAAAATAGCTGTGTGGTCATTTTAACAAATTTACATTCAACCTGATGTTATATTAGGTATTTTGAAAGGATGTGTAGTATACCTGATGTTTCAAAAATTAGAGACTTGATGCTTATTATGCATTATGGCTGACATTAATTTCAATTGTGTATGTTTCTTAGATATTTCAGTTTTAAGAAAAAAGTTATTCCAAATTTTATATTCCTTCTTTACAGAAGAATCAACTCTCGTTTATATTCAGTTTGAAAATACTGACTTTATTCCTCATATCGGGGGGTGTATTTCACATCTACAAATATTTTATTTCCTGTTTGTATTGCTAGTGTACTTCATTTATGGCACTGGCAGTTTGTTGGTTTAACTTTTACTCCCTCTGTTGGCTTTTAGAGGTGTTGCATTCTTTTTGGAGTGATGCTCGGGTTAATATTGATGCTCATTTTCATTTAACTAAAAAATTATTGTAGTTATGATGCAAATATATTTATGAAGTAGACTATGCATGGAATTATTTTAAGTTAATAAATGTTTCAAATGTTTCCAGTGCCTGTGAATGTTCTGGTTTTGATGAATATTAAGGAAATTTCATCACAATGCTTGTTTTATCAGCACTTGAGAACAGGGCCATGAAAAACCAAAAAAAAAAAGGAATATAAAATATTCAAGTTTGTAGTAAGCAAAAAAGTAGGCCTAGCATTAGATCAAAAGGATTTTTCTTGTATCTTCTAATTAGTTGCTGCCTACTCAGTGGAGTGAGTGATGGAGCTGTCTTACTGCTCCTGATTCTAGCTTAAGTGTTTGTGTCTGTGATCTATGGGACATCACAAAATTGCCTTGTAATATGTGTACAGGGTAAAATATTTATTTACCTGCAGTTCTCCCTGCCCCCCCTTTTTAATTAAAGATTTATTTATTTTTATACAAGAACTGGGATATAGTCCAGAGGCGCAGGAGGGTGAGAGGATTCACCAGAGACAAAGCGGGGAGCAGAATAGGCAGGCGACTGAGATACACTGCTGAGGGTAGCAGCGGGCGAGACAGGAGAGGTCTGCCACGCCGTGTGGGAATCTCCCTGGCTGGCTAGGAATCGAACCCACACTGCAGAGGCCTCGGACAGCTTCACAGTGCTGCGCTCAACCCTCCGCACCACTGGGGAGGGCTAAGAATTGCTAGGTGAAAAAAGAAAAGGGTGGGGTGCTAGCAATTCTTAGCATCTTTTTAAAAGCCACAGGTTAATGTAGTTTGCACTGTATAGTCATGGCTCTTGTGGTTAAAGATTATGTCCTATTTCTCCATGATTAAGAAGAGTTGTAGCGCACAATGGGGGATGGGAAATGTTAGTTCTAAAGTTAGCATATGAGGTGGAAAATATGTAGAGGGGTGTTTTCTCTTAAACCCTACAGTCATTCATTGAATAGAGTGTACTAAGTTTTCTGGGCTCAGAAGAAGTTGGTCTCTATTTTGTGGCTATTTTTATTGAAACAAAACACATTTAAACATTATATGCAGATACAGCATAATGAGTTTGTGGAACTAGGAAGGACAGACTGAGAGAGCAGCAGAGTCAGGCCTTCCTTCTTAATGCCACTTTAGAGCAAACCCTATTGGGAAGAATGGCGCATGAATTTGGATACATATAATTACTTTTGATGCACATGTGCCCGATGTGTGTAGTTGAGTTTTTTTTTTTTAATATAAGTGCATTTAATGTTATTCATTCTAAATGACCTCACTTCTTTGAGGATTTGAGTATAAATGTCATCATTTCAGTTAACTTGTTTTCTACCCAAATTTGGGAAGCATCCTTTTTCATTTATATTAAAATCAAAATGCACATCTTAACTACATCAGAGTTTTAAGGATTCCTTTCTTGAATGCTAAAGCTTTAAATTTGAAAATCCTTCTTTGGTAGTCTGTCAGCCTTGCAAGTTCAGTAATAGGGGATTAATATTGTGTCATTTTTTAGTAGCTGTGTATTCTAGTATTTTGATCATACTTTGAATTTGGTGTTAGATAAAAATATTTCACAGATGATAGATACGTATGTTTCAAAGGAATGTATAGTGATAACTTTTGCCACTCATTTATAAAGGGAGGTTTGTTATGTTGATAAAATAACCTGCCATTTTTGTTTATTGATTTTGTGTGTTTTTGTGCAGGTTGCTCTCCTGTTGCATCTTTGACATAATTTCTTAGACTCTGCTCCATGATTTAATCCGAAAGTCTGAAATGAAGATGGAGGAGGCAGTGGGAAAAGTCGAAGAACTCATTGAGTCTGAAGTCCCACCAAAAACGTCTGAACAAGAGACAGCTAAGGAAGAAGATGGAGCTGTAGAACTGGAATCTCAAGTTCAGAAAGATGGTGTAGTGGATTCTACAGTTCTTTCTTCAATGCCCTGCTTGCTAATGGAACTGAGAAGGGACTCTTCTGAGTCTCAGTTAGCATCCACAGAGAGTGACAAGCCTACTACTGGCCGAGTTTATGAGAGTGACTCCTCTAATCACTGCATGCTTTCCCCTTCTTCTAGTGGTCACCTGGCTGATTCAGATACACTGTCTTCTGCAGAAGAGAATGAACCCTCCCAGGCAGAGACAGCAGTAGAAGGAGACCCTTCTGGAGTGTCTGGTGCCACGGTTGGGCGTAAGTCTAGGAGGTCCCGATCTGAAAGTGAAACATCCACTATGGCTGCCAAGAAAAACCGGCAATCCAGCGATAAACAGAATGGCCGAGTCACCAAGGTTAAAGGTCATCGGAGCCAAAAGCACAAGGAAAGAATCAGGCTACTGAGGCAGAAAAGGGAGGCTGCTGCACGGAAGAAATATAACCTGTTGCAGGACAGTAGTACCAGTGATAGTGACCTGACTTGTGACTCAAGCACGAGCTCATCAGATGATGATGAAGAGGTTTCAGGGAGCAGCAAGACAATCACTGCAGAGATACCAGGTAGAGGATGTTTTTTAAACTGACTGTAGAGCACCTGATGGCATTTCTCAGCTGTCAGGCTCAGTTAGATGAGTGACACTTGAAAAAATCCAGGAGACCTGCAGCTCTGTGTAAATTTGAAGACTGCAGTGTATTAACAAGACATGGCCAATTTAAAAAACCTATTCTGAGGTTTCTGGTGCACTTTAGCACATCATCACAAAAATATTTAAATGGTTAATAATAGGGACAAGATTATTTTTAAGTAATGGACTTTCTCTTAAGTTTTTCTCTGTAACACAATACCTGAACTCCCATCATTGCCTTTTTAGCACTGCTTAGATTTAATACTCAGTGTTCAGCATTATTACTAAAAGTACATTCTCCTCAGGAATAGGCACCTTGCTTTATTATATAACTACTGCACTTGAGCTTACGGTGTCTGAAAGAACATGTTATATCTTTCCTTAAAGTTTTCTAATAACTGTTCCTCCTAATAACTGTGTCCCTCCTCTGCCCCCACCATTCTGTGCATGATAAGCTAGTTATCCTAGTTGCACATTTTTCTATTCCTGGTTGACACTTGCATTGAAAAGAATGTGCTTTTTTTTTTTTTTTTGGAGGGGTGGCCCAAAATTTCCCTCTTACTCTCCCAAGTTAAAAGATTTGTTAGAAATCTACATATTAAAGCTCTTATTGGCACAAGGTTCTGTCACTCATTATGTTTGACATACCTGTGTTCTCTGTATTATGACGTCTGGTTCTGTGTATGACAAAGGCAGTCTTGATTTCATAAAGGAAGAAAGATGAGTTCTGAACATTTCTTAATGATTGAACTTTTATTATTGAAGAGACTTATGACTAGGAGCGTTCTGAAAACCACTGGGCGTTTAATAGATCTTGATAACATTGTTTATTGCTACTTTAAAGAGGGGGAAGTTTGGGTTTTCTAAAGTTTTGTGGGTGCCTGTTTTTTCCTCCTAGTTTTCTGAAAGTTTCCTGTTTCTACCTGTGAAGATAGTGTATTGCTGATATTCAAAGAGTTATTTCAAGAAAAATCTAGTTAATTAAGCTTACAGTTAACCAAAGTTCCGTAAACTCTGTAACAAGAATGATTGGTTTTAAAGCACTTTATTGGTGTTCAGTTAATAATAACAACAGTCTCATTCATATTTATTAAATGAGTTTTAAACAGTTGTTAGAAATGTTTTCCATTTTATTGTCTATTGTATTACTTTAGTAGTTTCTTGTGTTGACTAGTAGTTCTTGTGTTACTGGGGAGGTGATTTAATGGAAGGTTATTGGTTGAATGCAGAGAGAAGCAGACTTTGGAGTTGTTCCAAGGCGCGTTCTAGGTATATTTCAGCTTTCCAGTTAATAATGTTTTCAAAGAAAGCTTTAACACTTGTGAAATTATTTGTTCATACATTCTTATGTCCTGTTCTTATCTAGTAATCAAGATCATGATGACTCTAACACAGTACTTAATTCTACTTACTAAATAGGCTTTTATGTAATTACCCTTTGCCTTTTTATGGAAAGGGAAAAGAAAGTAAACAGAATTCCCTTTGAAGATAGACTCCATTGTGGAGGTGGCTGGATAAGTATCTTCATGGGCACCCTCCTTGTGTGGCTTACATATGCTTCATTTTTTCTAACCTCTTTGCTAATTAACTATCTTGACCAGTGTCTAAAAATTCTATAAAACACCAGTGGTGTGTTTCATGTCTGTTCTGAATTTATACCTAGCAAAACACCAAAGTAAATTATCCGAATATATAATTTACTATCGCTCATACCATTTATATTAGTTTCTGAATAGATGTAGCATTTTCTAAGGTGGTTATGGATATCAAATGGTGGATAAGGTATAGGACCTTTACATATGACTGCCTAGGTGGTGTGCTGCACAGTTTCAGAAGGTGTTGCTCATAAAAGGTGTGACTGGCCTTTTCTGGAATTACGCAAATCGGTGAAGATGGAATATTAGGAAGTTGATTTTAACGGTCCATATTGTTGCCCCTGAAAAATTGCGACATTATGCATTAATCCATTTTTAGTGTAATAATTATGTATACCTCAGTTTTCTTAGTCACATTGTAACTTGGGGGAAGAGGAGTGCATTCAACCTAACAGCAAAGGTAGTTGAGAAGTTGTATAAATTAAAAAGATGCAATGAGTTACGAACTGACTTGAGTAGAACATGGACATTCAGGTGAACTTTAAACTGGATGTGCCTAACAGAGAATCTCTTGGATGTGGAAATTTAAATCCAGCTGTGTACATAGAATGGAAATTAAGAGGAAAAAATAAAACTGAGATTCTTGCTATACTTTCAATCAAGATACAACTGATTTAGTAATTCAGAGAATGTTTTATTTGTAAACTTGTTTGGCAGCACCTTTAACATTGAAGGAATTATGCTAAATGTTCTCTTAAGCCAAATAATTTGACAATAAATGCATTATCTTGCAAGGAATGAAAATAATGATGACTTCTTAGGGAGCATGATAATGCTTAATAATTGAGTTTGATATCTGGGCAGGAGATGTTTTTGAACATTTTTTTTTTAAGTTAGCTCTTAAGCAGTTTAATATCCACACTAGATCATTCTTTTCTTGACGTTTTTGAGAATATATTTGTTTTAAGACTATTTGGAGGTATCGCATCAAGATAATTCTGGCAGTTCTTTCATTGGGGGGGCTGAAAGACTAAATAAGAGTGTTTTTTAATGAATATGCATGTAAAAATACTATGGTTGTTTTGAGTACTCAAGACTTATCAAATGTCATATTTATCTTTATAAAAATGATCTCCTCTTACCCCCCCAGGAGGGGTCAGTTTTTCCATACAATTTAGGTGAGACTAAATTTATATAGTCTGCTCTTGCAGGGAATTTTGATTTTAGTGAATATGAATAATGGACATTAGTCTTTATTCAAGAAATTAATTCTCTCAACAGACTTAGGTGCATCAGTGTAAATGAGAAGCAGGAAAAAGTTTTTCTAGTAACTGTTGCTTTTTAAATATTTAGCATAGAGTAAACCTCAGGGTAGTTTCAGCTTACCTTGACAGTAATGACCTGCTTTTGTGTGGTTGAAAAGTCCACTGCATTCGTGGCCTACCCAGACTGAGTGTTCCAAAAATAGTACCCATTTTGGTAGGTAAGGGTCAGTTGTCTTGGCTGGTTTACATTTAGAAAATCTGATTGGTTTATTTTGGAGACTATTAGGGAGGCTATTGTGCTCAACTGACTAAAGTCACCTGAATTCCTAGTCCAAGAGGCCAGGCCAAAATGGCTTAACCCTAGGGAAGCCAGGGATTTTAGCACGTACGACTCATCAACCCATTTATACGTTGAAATACATCATGACAAGCTGTCATCTTACCTCATAGTTTCCTGACTAGAAAATTATGTGTGATCAATTAACTCTTGCTTGGGGAAAAAGTTATTTTTAAGTAGTAAATATTATAGAAATGTTTGAGAATAGAAAAATGTGAGAATTAAAAACCATAATCCTGCCTTTGTTAACATTTGAGTGTGTTGCCTTCTGTAATGTATAAAGCAAAATTCACCTTAGTGTATTTGTGTCTTTCTCTCTTAATGTTACCATTTAAGCTTTAACTGTAATATTATTCCTAAAATGTGTGAATTTTGAATAACTTTGCCAACGGTAAAATAACTGCCCCAACAAATTAGGGAAGTTAGACTTCCTTAATTATCGTTTGGACCGTTTTGGTTTTACTATTATGAGGAAGGGTGTGAAGGCTCTTGACATACCACCAAACTGCTTTTTAAGAATTTATTCTGTTTATTTCACCCAAAAACTTGATAATTCATTGCACTATATTCTTACTTATTGGTTATTTGTTAAAAAAATAATCTTGCTGATTTGATGGCAGAATTGTCTGTTAGTGTTAATTTACATATCTTTGATAATTAGTGAAGTTGAAAAATGATGTTTGCTTATTTATATCCTTTTGGTAAATAGTCTATTCATGTTCTTTGCACATTTCTCTTTTGTCACACTTGTTTTTCTTAATGATTTGTGAGGATTCCTAACCTGTTGGTGATTGAATTACTTGGAAAAATTTTAATTTTTATTTAATCAGTGAGGACTCATGGTAGATGGTAAAACGTGAAACCCACATCAGTTCCCATGACCCTTTTCTAGATTGAGTGAGAAGTGTCTAAACACCCACATCCTCATTTTAGGCTTTTTTTGATCTAGTTGTATTTTAGTAGCTATTTAGGGGACTCACTACATACATTGATAACAAAACACAAGACAGTAAACAGGTGAAAACCCCTATTTTGAGCTAAGTAAATGCAAACAAGGCACATGAAATCCCAGCAGTTTTCAATTTGGCTACCTATTATTAGAATCACTTGGGGAGCTTTTAAAAATTTATGGCCCCCACAACAGACCAATTAAATCAGAAATCTCTGGGTCTGACTCAGTCATTAGCATTTTCCCCCAGCTTTTTTTGAGTTATAATTGACATGTAATAGCTTGTAAATTTAAGGTGTACAATGTAATGATTTTTGATGTATGCATATATTGCAAAATGGTTACCACAATAAATTTAGTTAACACATCCATCACTTCACAGTTAAAATTTGTGTGAATATGTTAGAACTTTTTAAAATTGTTCTTATCAGCTTTTTCATATACAATATAGTATTGTGAACTGTAGTCACCATAGCGTACTTTACACCCCCAGAACTTATAAGTTTGTATGAGTTTGTACCCTCGATCACTCATGCATCCCTCCGTCCCTACCTCCCCAAATCACCAATCTGCTCTGTGTCTGTTAGGTTTTTTTAAATTTCACATGTAAGTGAGATCATGCAATATTTGTCTTTGTCTAACTTATTTCACTTAATATAAGGCTTTATAATTTTTTAAGCTCCCAGGTAGTGATAGTGAGCAGTAGTACTGGGAACTACACAGTTAAGCAATGATATATTAAGTTCCCCATAGCTAAAACTCACTATGAAACTGGTAGTCTGATTCAGT